TTATACATCAAAATGGAATTTCTGTGATACGTGGTGCGTGCATAAACAACCAGGGCAGCTTTTGTCTTTGCTGAATTTAAATGAAAAGTCCCCTAGATATTAATATGTGGACTTCATTTGTTAGCCTGCTAAGTCAGGGACTTATAACAAAAGCTTTGTAAACAAAAGATTAAACTGAATCGAGCTTTAGAAAATGAAAGGAAAACAAGAGTCAAGTAATCACAGATCAGACTGGGGCTGCTTAGATGGAAATCAGCACGGGCTACTGGAGTGGAAAATGTTTAATTGAACTATTTCATTACGCAGAAGTTTATGTCCCCCTCGCAGAATCCAAAATATTTGTTATCAGAAAAGCCATTCTTTCTTCTTTTAAAGAGAAGGTCCTTCGGAGAAGCAATGGGGGAGAAAGAGCCTCGCATGCCTCTGGCCCTGGCATTCCACCATCCTCTACAGTGGCCACGTCCAGGCTGGGTGCCCCTAGCCCCGTGCACCTGTCGGTATAGCCGTGGGCACAGAGTATCTACTGTGCGCACCCACCCCCACCTCTGCCCGACACCAGAACTAGCCTGGCAGTGACCCGCCCATGCAGGGCTCTTTGACTGACCTTGGGTAACCTTTCAGGATCACCCGGATGTCTGGGGATCACCTTCTGCAACCTCTGGAAGCCGTAATCTATGGTTGGTTCATTGAGGGCTGTAACAGGACACAGAAACATAGATCAGGTTAATCACTGTCACGTCATCCGTCATGCCTTTACTGCATGCTTCCACATACATGTGTGGCATTCCTCCGCACGGCCAAGGCAAGAACCCCCGGATGCTGGCACTATCTTAGGAACTAGACTTCCCTCTCTCTTTTGCACAGAAAAGCAATGATTATTTCCAATCTACAATTAGACGGGAACAAAGTCAAAGGGTGACTCGATATATTGTAAAAATGGCGGTGCAGTCACCAAGTGGCAGGTCTTGGGGCCATCTATAGCAATCACACCGCTGTGGTGTGTCGCCGGCATCATACTGAGCCTTCCACACTGGCCAGGAATTTATGGGAAGCTGGCAATTATGACATATGTCTGGCTATTGCTAGCCTCAGATTTATCCCTGTGGTCCTTTTTTGTCTAGCATACTGCCTGAGCACAGAGCAGGCAGGAAGAGCACTTATTCTTGCGAAGCTTTAATAATCTGTGAATGGCTGACTACAAACTGATGTAGAGCGCGATCGTTCTACAGCTGCAATCCACCAGCCCCACGAAATTGCCGACCACAAATAGTAATTAATCTTTTTATCCCTCAAATTGTAATTTTGACTATGAACTCCGCGTGGCCATAAATCAGAGGCACACGCGCTGTGTACAGTGCGTGAATCACGGCCAGGACTCAGTGCGGCTGCACACTGTGTTTAACAAGCTTTATAAGAAGCCATTGGGTTTTATTATGGCTCTGCCCGACTCCAACAAAAACTGAGCCCCGAGGCCCGGGGACGCGAGTTAAGATGAAAATACTTATTAGAGTACATTACTTCTTGATGTAGGTATCGTTTTCCCATGGAGTAACTCCGCAGTGCATGGCGCGACATAAATCAGGAGGTTTTCGGAGACTAATAAGACCTGCCGCCATCTATTCATTACTCCGCCCGCAATTTGGGCCATCACTCATTAGTAATTTGATGATTAACACCACCCAACTCAGCAGGTCTGCAGAGTGCAGGGGAAGACAAAGGCTAGGGCTCCCTAAGAGGAAGGTTAGAGTCTGCCTTTGAAAGTGCTCTCCACAGTAGTCGGTCACCGTTATCCTCCAGTCCGGGCCGTCGGTGTGTCTCGCAAGCAACGCGGGGCACCTCACGTGTACACTCAATAATACGCCCGAAAGTTGAGGACCACAATATGATTTGACATTCCATCATACATCCCGGAGACAAAGGTCCGCACAGGAATGTGAAGTAAGACATTTTCTTGTTAATAAAGCATTGATCCGAGGTATTGATTTTACATGACATGGCTTTTGCTGGGATTTTGCCCTCTTTTTTCCTTTGCAAATAGCAAAGCTCTTCAAAATGCCTCAGCGTGTGTGACACTGCAAAATTTCTAACTCTCTGTGATGTAAATTCTATACGTGTAAAACCACTTCATAATCAGACCATTAATCATCAGAAGCTGTCAGCGCTGACTTGGGGGACAATTTGTCATGTCTCCGCCTGGGCCCGGGCAAGGGTGTCAGGCAAGAGTGCAATTTGGGCATCTGGGCGGATGGGCAGCTTCTCCGGCCTCACCAAACAACTTGGTCCAAAAAAAAAAGAAAAAGAAAAAGAAAGGTTGGACAAAGTGTTGTGTTTCTTGATGGGAGAACAAAAGAGGTGGGCCACCATGCGTTCCGAACATGCCAGGCTTCCCTCCTCTCCCAGCTAATCACCATGACTGCTTGACTTAATGAATCGCCCTGATGAAAGGTGATCAGAAAAGATAGATGGGCGGCCATTATTGATTTCATGCAAATGCCCCTGACAGGTGATAGGCGCTTTAATGCGCGCTTTCAGAAGCTTTATGAGTTGTAATAGCCACACACTCACTCTGGCACAGGCGTTTCAGTGGAATTGCTATTCTTCTTCTATGACCACAAATATCTTAAAGCTGCCTAAATACGAGGGCACCTTTCACCTGCCCACGCGGCCCACCAGTGCTGATGGATAAGCACGGCACACTAGGGAAGTTCAGGAGTCCATGTGTGCCGGGGCGGTCCTCACAGGCTGGCTACGCCCCAGAGAAGGGGCTGGGGCTGTTGCTCCAGTTTGAAATCCCACCCAGGGACCCGGCTACCTGGGAAAATTCTAAAGCCCTGCCCCCTGCTTCGTGGCAGGAGCAGCGGCTGACATGTTAGCACAGGCCTGTGAGGCGCTGCTTCTCCAGGCCAGTGGGGTCAGCCAATGCACAGGAAGCCTCCAGGAGCAGCTGGGTCTGCTGGGCTGCCTGGCCCTGGTGAGGCCCAGCCGCAGTGGCCCGCCTAGTCCACAGCCCTCCAAACCACACCGAGTCCACCCTCACTCCATGCTCGATGAAGCGAGGGCTTACCAGGGCCTCACAGGCAGATTCTGCAACTGGAGGAGAAGGTCCGGGCCTTCCCACACATCTAATAAGCCCTCAGCAAGCCACATGTACAGCTGAGAGCCCAGCCCAGCCCAGGGCAAGGCACTGGCCCGTCCAGTCACAGAGCCCCGAGCCAGGCCAATCAATACCACTTTCCTGTTTTAGAACTGGGTAATTATGAGGGGGAGAGATTGCCTGACCTTTCACCTGCACTGCATTACTTTGCTGATATTAAGATAAATTGCCTGATTTTGGGTAAACATATGCTGCAATTCAAACTGTCAGCACTGGTTTGCTCATGGATAATTTGTATTGATCTCCTAGCTTCTTCCCAATTTTGCTTACTGACCTCGTGGATAATTAGAGAAGGAGCCTTGGGTGAGCTCAAGTCGAGGATGAAGAAGAAATATGAAGAAGAATAAAGCAAATTTGTTTTATGTTAATATTTGTCGGTCCTCCTCCACATCTGTCAGCGTCGGGAGAGCCGTAAATTAATGTACTTGGTTCCCGAGCAATTTATTCCAAGGAATTATTTAGCAGCATGCTTAGGCTCCAAACATGTGTCACTGGGTTAAATTAATTTAAACTCTGCCTTAAACACAACAAAAACAAATGTTATTTTCTGCTGAAGGGGAAAAAATACATTTCCTCAAAATTATATTGTAAGCCTCCAACTTTCTGCATGGAATTTTCACATGTCTGTATCTGGGAGGAAAGGCTTTATAATAAATGCCCCCCCCCCCACACACACACACACCCGGAAGTAATTAGTGCCTGTTATTTGTCATGAATTCAAATTTTGCTAAGATGGGTGGTTGCATGTAAAAGATGAATGTATGTGTGGAATTATATCATTTAGATATGTCAGATTAGAAGGCTGTTGTATCAAAAGTCATAAAACAAATCTCCCCTGTGAAATATCTCTTTATTAACCGTGCCATAAGATATTAACATTCCTCATTTAGTGGAGGGCCTTTTATCTGTTTCAAATACATTATTCGTCCTTTTAGAGATAAACTGTATTAATATCCATTTGAGTAGACTACTGCGGCCTAATGCATAGTAATTTTTGTTGGAAAGCTTTTATTTTAGAATAAGAAAATTACACAGCAATAAAACCTGAATGAATCAGAAGCTAGAATAGCCGGGAATCACATTCCATGCCAAGTGAAGCAAGCAGCCAGGCAGCCTGTGAAGGGCCAGATATCTGGCTATCATGTGCAGGCCAGTATCCAGCCTGGGTCCTACAAATGGGGCCTAACATGACCCCATAGACTCCACAGGTCTACGCACCGGATAGCCTGCAGCTCGGGAAGGATTCATATTTAAATATATTTGAGTGTACTGGAGTTAATCTCGTTACTTTACATGCATTAAAGTCATAACAGAAGAAGCATTCTAAATATTTAAGTCATGCCCGCGTACTGTGGGATTAATCATACTGCAATTGATAAAATTTTAACGGTCTGTGATGTCGGCTCAAGTTGGGATTGCCAGAGCTAATGTGGCAGTGGAAAATGGCATTGCGCTTTGAGCTGCAGCTGGGGCCAGAGCAGCTCCAGCCAGCCTGCCACAATTAGAAACGTACCAGTGGGCAGCAGCCAGTAGGGTTTTCTTTCTGGTGACATCCGTACTTGGAAGTTCTCATGTTGAGAGCTGAACTGTCTTTGTCATCTGGCCCTGCCTGGAGTTCTGTGTTGCTCTTCTATACCCCAAAATGTAAATGACTGTCTTATCAGGCCTGAACAACAAGTCCATTAACGTGTGAACCTCACTCAATGAAGCAAGGGGACGTGTTTGGGACCACTGAGTGGATAACACAGAGAAAACATTTCAGGGTGGAGGACAGGCCAGCCACAGGACACTTCTCAAAGAAAGGACATAGCCCAAGGAGCGCCCTCCCTCATCACTCCCTAAGCAGCTACTACATGCCCCGAGCCTGGTTATGGGCACTCGCCAGCCATGGGAAACCCACGCCTACCCATGGCCCAGGCAGCCCAGGGGCCCCGTCTTGCCTGCAGGTGGGGAAGGAGGAACCTTCGTGACAAAGCTTGATTGTGACCACCCCCATCCCAGCAAGGGAGGCCTGGGTCCAGCTGCCAGCAAGCAGCACATCGCCTTCCACCACTGCTGGAGTAATTGCTCTTGCAGCACAGTTGTGTTTTTAGAACAGTGCCATAAACACACGCGAGGGAGACGATCAGGTAGGAAACAGCCATTTGTAGCAGGGCCTCCTGATTACTGAAGCCGAAGACCAGCACACAGAGACAGGAGAAGTTTTCGGTGTAGTACAAATTCTCCTCCTGCCTGAAAAACCTGACTCCAACAACAACAACAGGAAGACATTCATTTGCCTCATTCCAGCTGCTGGCTGCAGCTATTACGTGAGCTCCAGTTTCATTTCAATAATGATCATCTTCCTGTAACTTCCCAATCAGGCATTTGTCATAATGCAGTAATTTTCTTGCTACAAACAGATCCTCATAATGAGGCAGTTTTTCACATTAGCAACATAACTACATAATAAGAACATCTGTAGTTCCTTTTGCGAGGGACAAGAATGTGCTTCATTGAAAGCAATGGGTTTGTTAAATAAGATATAGTATGTTTTACT